AAAATTAGACGACAAAGAATTAACTTGACGGAGCTCAAACTCAAAACACACGGCAGCAACAAACAGGAAGTGACGTCTCCCCACGTCACTTCCTGTTTGTGAAACACCGTGAAAACACCGTGAAACACCGTGGTGTGGGAATTATTCAGCACCAAAGTACCACACATTTGTTTAATTCAACTGCTCTTCAAAGCACACAGAGGTTATGGAAGTTAAAGTGCTAAACCTGACTTTACTGTTGACCTAATGGTTTTTCCATGATTTTCCTGCACTGTGTAGGGTTACATTTCATGGAGAGCCCTAAGAACGTGACCTCCTCTCTTGGGAAGCCAGTGGCTGTCCAGTGTGTCCTGCGAGCGGACGGCGAGGGCCAGGGGCCCCTGGATGTGCTCTGGCTGAAGGAGGGACAGCTGCTGGACTTTGCCGACACCAACCAGATGCAGTTCCTCGAAGATGAGAATGGCTGGCTGGTTATTAGTGAACTCAAGTAGGAATACCTCTTTAATTTGGACATTTACTCTGACTCTCCAGTGGACTGTTTCCACTGTCCATGATCAGTGTTGCAGAAAGCAAGCATGTTACGTTATTGCCTTAATGCCTAATAAAAGTTCTGAATTATGATAGCTCATGAATTTGTATGGAAAGTAGTGTGATAGGTATTCTTATATCACTTTTTCTCATTGGCAATTTGCTGAGACTCCAAAATACAAGCCCTACAATTGGTTTGTAGGTATATTTTCTTTTGTAATATGACTCTTTTGTCAGTAAATAGATTTTTTATTAAAAATATCGGTAACACTTTAGAACAGGGACAAATTATCACTATTAACTAGTTGCTTATTAGCATGTCTATCATTAACATGTTAGCTGTTTATTAGTATTTATAAAGCACATATTCTGCATGACCATATTCTACAATCCTAGCCAATACCTAAATTTAACATCTACCTTACTAACTGTTAATAAGCAGCTAATTAGTTTATTGAGGCAAAAGACATAGTTAATGGTTTGTTGATAGTAAGAATTTAATCTTAAAATAAAGTGTGACTGAAAATCTATAAAATGGATTACCTGTGACCCCCAGCATTGATCAAACCCAGCCCACAGACATGTAAAGCTGACTGGTCTTATGCCACTAGCAATGCATATGTCAGGGGTTTGATTCCCAATGACCACACACGCTGATACAACTGAAACATTAAAAGCACTGAAATTTGCTTGGTAGAAAAGTGTCTGCCAAACGAATCTATTGAAATGTGACTGCAGTTTCATATTAATAGTATTCTCCATCTGCTTACAGGATAGAGGAGGTACAGCTCTCGGATATGGGCGCCTATCAGTGTGCGGTTTCCTCTGGTGAAGAGGAGCTTTTATCCATTGAGGGATACATTGAACTCGAAGGTATTTCACTTTTTGAATGTTTTAAAATCCATTGTTCCAAAATACAAATTCATATGGTGACTTTATCTCCTGATTGCTGACTGGGCGGCTGGGTTGGGCCGCGACTATACCAGTCGACTGCTATGTTGGGAACTCCTCTATAGTGCATCAATGATATATTTATGGATTCCCTAACTGTCTTTCTCTCTCCCCCAGGTCTCCCTCAGTTCTCGGTAGAGCCGCAGCATTTGTCAGTCGTGGCTAACGAAGAGCTGAGTCTGCACTGTGTGGCTCATGGTCCTCCTGATCCCGTGCAGGTCATCTGGCTTCAGGACGGGGCTCCTCTCAATAACCTGGGTGACCCGATATCCCTGTCGCCCTCAACCCTCAACATCTCAGGTACTGACCTCACTCTATATGACTCTACACTAGGGTTGTTTTTATCAACATTTCCTTCTACAAACAACAAATACCTCGTATCTCCATATTTCATAAATCAGTGCTATTGCTCACCCTTTACATTTGCCTGTGAGTTTTACAAATATTTAACCAATAAATAGTACACAGTAAAATCCCGAGTGTTAAATTAACACTGCTCGGAGCATATATGGTCCCACTCTAAAAGAGTGTTTTTTAAGTTTAAGCTTTTCTTTGGCTGGCACTATTGTGTGTTAAACACATATGTGATGGCAAGGAACTTATGGTAAAATCATGTCATGCGTCTGAGTCTCTGATTGAAATTTATCTAAAACTTTAGTGCTTTATGCTTTCTATATTTTTGCAGCTATATGAAATAACAATGTGAGAAAAACCTTCTTAAACGACTTTTATAAATATGGTTTATAACGAGGTTTTAATTCTGGCACTCATAGACATGAAGAATCAGCATGTGAATCTCAGCAATGGTGACAAAATATTCTGATAATTTGTATGTGATTTTTGAACATGACAAAACAAAGCAGTAAAAAGGCACAACAAAAATATAAGCAAATACTAAGACAATGCAGCTGCATAATTTATTCATGTCGCAATGCATGCTATCATTATCAAAAAAATGGGCAACTTAATCTGAACACATATTCTCTTGGTTTTTCTTGCAGTAACAAATGTGTTTCATAAACACAGTGACAGCAACCAGAGAAAAACTAATGTTAAAAAGTCAAGGGTCAAGATCCCAACTAAAGCAAACACTTATCTCCACAACGGTGACTTCAAATTGTATTATTTTCAATAAACATTAACATCTAAACCTCTGTTAATT